CCCACCGGCGCCCGCGTCCGTCCCCCGGAAAGCGCCAGAAAACACAAGCGACGCGAGACCGCCCGCCCGTTCCCCGGCGCAGGCAACCAAAAGCGGCCACGCAAAGGAGCGGCGCCCCGGAACTCGGTTCCGTCGGTTCGCCCACTTCGCGTCCCGTCCGTCCGTCGCCTCCTTTCCCTTCCTCCCTCCACCGCCCTCCCCTCCCGGCCCCCGCCCCCGGCACACGGCACAGGGCACGCGGATCTGACCAAACCGTCCAGCAGGCCCTCTCCGACCGCGGCCGCCCGCGCGCAACAACCTGCTCCGCCTGTCCTGTGGCATCGGCTTCCAAGTCGACCGATGCGCCCGATGGAGACGGAGGAGGAGGACAGCGGCGGCTGGGACTTCCTCGACTGGCTCGGCCCCGACACATCCACCACCGTCTTCCATCTCCTCGACGACCCCGCCGACCTCGCCCGCGTCGCCGCCGTCTCCCGCTCCTGGCGCCGATTCGGTACGCTTCCTGCTCCCCAATTCCCTGTTATTGTCCTGTTGTTGGGCCGGTCGCTGAGCTCGACGCCTCCGCTGTTTTCCCCCTTCTCATGCAGTGATCGAGAACGGATTCAGCAAGCGCCTGTGTCGGCGGATATGCCCGGAGGCCGCCAGCTTCACCCGCGCGGTCGTGGTGACCCGGTCGCCGCCGCCCGCCGCGTCCGCGTCCGAGTCCAGCCAGGACGCTGAGTGCAGGGCCCGCGAGGGGGAGCATGCGGCCTACTCCTACCTCCTCGGCGCGCTCGTCTCCGCCAAGCCCGCCATGGACCTCATCATGCGCTGCGTCGGCGCCTCCAGCACCGACTTCTTCCCCGACGAGACCATGGAGAACACGCTCGTGCCGCATGAATGGGTGAACCACCGCCACTCGTACTGGTCCAGCGGCGGCAAGGACGACCCCGACGCCCCCGAGAGCTTGACCTACAGGCTCTCCTCTGATCTCTGCCTGATTGATGAGATCAGGGTGCGCCCGTACAAAGGTGCGTGGCAGGGCATGCCACTGATTTAGGCTGTCGGGAAGTTTCGAATGCATGCCCTACAATTAGGTAGGTTTGCATTGCATTTCAGGGAGACTGATCATGTGAATTTCATAGCTTGTTTTTGTTTCGTTTTTCTTCTGCCAGCTGCTTTTCAGCATGGCCATCCGATTTACTCTTCCAAGGCGGTGAGAATCCGGCTGGGTCATTCCAAGCTTGATCCTGGAACAGAGACTTTTGTTTCGGCTGAGAATGAGAACCTGACAGCTATCGCTGATGAAAACTACACGTGGACATACACGTCGCCAGAGTTTCCTATGCTTCAGGCTAGTTAAACGCTTCTCTCTTGCCTTCTTCCCCTCTCTTGTTGACTGTTCTACCCACCAGCAGCTTCTTTTAAGATGATATCCGACACAGTAAAGCTATACTTTATTAGGTCCTATCGTTATCAGTTCATTCCTCAGCACACTTTTGAGAATTTTAGCGATCTGTTTGGAATATACTACTAGAGATATCATTCTTCATTCATCCCCTGTGCAAGATAGGCAAGTGCTATGATTGGTTTTACTACAGTTTTGAATAGAAATCTGAACCTTCCGGTCATTATTGTATTCACTTTCAAAGATGGAACAGCTTAGGTTTAAAATTATTTAGCACTAATGCACCATTGCAGAATAAGAAAATGACAATTCAGTCCACAAGTTGGTGTTGTGGCTTGTCTATCATTTTGTTTTGTACAGTAGTATAAGTATCTCACTGGTCGAATAGTCTAGACAAACGGGGCTTGGTACTGAATATCCAAGCATTGTATTTCTCTCTCCTCGGTTACAACTGAAATTCTTTAGGTGGGTCGCAATTCAGAATCAAGTATGCACTTCTGATAGACTGGAAGCTCGAGGGTGGTCAAACCATAGAATTTTCCTACTCTGTCGACAAGATTTGGAACAGGGCCGCATTTTTTTTTTTTTGAAGAAACAGGAGGGTAGCCCCGTACTGGTTAATATTTATATTAATAAGACAAGGAAAAAAAGTTGTGTCAAAGTAACAGAATTTAGGAGACAAAAAAAGAGACAAAGAAGATACAAAAGATCACAATTGGTGCTCTTGCCATTCTTCTATAAAAGGGAAAATATTTCTTCTTCGCTCTATGGATAACCAGAGCAAACTCTTTCTTGAAGAAAACCCAACAGTTTGATATAGACGGCAGAATCCCTTGAAAGGTGTGGTCATTCCTTGCGACCCAAATGCTCTAGCTCATTAGTGTGGTAATTTCCATGTAGAAAGGGACTCCCAATTGTTGTTTGAAACATTCCAGAGTGACAAAAGGTTCAACCTCAGTGTCAACACTAAGATTAAGACAAGCTTGCACGAAGTCACACTTCAAGAAGAGGTGTTCCAAGGTTTCCTCGGTAGGCTGGGTGCATAGGAAAATCATAAGAGGGCCGCATTTTTTCAGAGATTGCAGATTCACTAGGTGGCTGTGGACTGAAATCGTGTTTTTGAGTGCTGCAGAAAAATAAAGATGAGGCAAGCCTGTGGATCGCGGCAGGAGGAAAACACCTCTCTTGTTTTTATCTTTTTTAACCTGAGCTTCTCTCCTGTTTCTCGTTGCTCATTTGTGTGCGGCTGTTTTGTTGCTAGGCTCCAGCCTTTCTTGTAGACTCTTCTTGTACAGTGCCCCAGGACCTCCTTTCTTTTTAATATTTAACTGGTGGCTCTCTGCCGATTCGTTTTACTGAATGGATGATTTGGAAACTTTACTGACACCATTTTATTTTGGTGTGATAGGAAAATGTGTTGCAAACCTTCAAGCTTCCGCGCCCTGCCCTTTGCATTGGTGGTATAGTGAAGATTGAACTTCTGGGGAGATTACAGAAACAATCTATAGATGATAGGTATTACATATGGTGAGTTCTCAATCTTCTATGTCAGTGTTGGTTGGTCACCTGTTTTTTCTTCATGGCTCTCTTCGCACACAGTGACAATGTCACGATTCAGTTGCAAGAAGAAAACATGCATGGGCTTCTAATTTGTTATATAAATTTTGAGCTTGCATATATGTACAGTTTGAAGCTGGAGTAGAACTAAAGGAGTGTGTGCTACTTATTTTCACTGCTGCCTAAAAGTAGTTTGTCTACAGAACAACATTTTCTATGTGGTTTTAATAATCTTTCCTGTAATTTTGTCTTCATCCTTGTGTCAAAGCATGGTTTATGTATGGCTTGTGTATGTGCAGACACATGCCATCTCTGATGGTGAAATTTCTTTTTGTCAGCAGCTTATAAAGTAGAGTTTGCTTTCTGTAACACGTCTGAAGCATTTCCTTGGATATGCATCATCTCGGCGGCGCTAACAGCTTTGTTTTCTTTTTGCGCGTTGACAGTGTTTGCCATGTCCAAGTGATGGGGCGCTCGCTTTCACCAGATTTAATGATAGACATCTCCGATCCTGCTGATTACTCAAACCTCAAGTATTTGCCGGGTGCCGGTAACTTGCGCCCAGAAGACCTACTGAGCAGTGACGCCAAGGAGGACTCATTGGACTGGCGCTCGCTTGTTTCTAGGTACAGGCAGATGAGGGAACTGGCGATGGTGTATATGCTGCTTGGACCTGTGCAGTTTGTAGATGAACAAGACGAAGCTGAGGCAGACCTGCTGCACATGTTGTAGGCTTTGTTTTCTCTGAACCGGGTCTTGTGTATCCTAATTGAACGGAGTTTGTTCTGATAAATTTAGCGCAAAAAGATTTGTGTCGTTGTTTCAGTCTAGTGTTTTTTCAGCTCTGCTTGATCTCGATCATGGCAGAGACAAAACACTTTGCAAATAGCGCATTCATATTTTGGAAGTATTCCCCTATATTTTGCAAATAGACCCTATTCCGCACCATCATCATGATTAGTAATTGCGATCTGTTGTTTTTCAAATGGGTAACGTACAATTTTTTTTCAACCTAAAAGGACACACTCGGACCGTCGATACCAGATTTCATAATTCAGGTTTGAATGAAAAATATACTTTACCTGTTTTCAAGTAAACCCCTGTATTTTGCAAACAGCCCCTAATTTGTATCGCGATCCGAGATTTACCTTTTGTTCTTATGGGCCGTTCGGCTGTTGAAAAACCAGCCGGAATTTACTGTTCACATATCACAGATTCATCCAGATTCCTCTAAATTCCTCCCAGTGAACAGGGCCTTAGATCGGCCCACGGCGATTCACCGATCCGACAAATTTCTCCCAGCGAACAGGGCCTTAGGATCGGCGACGCCAATCCAGAGCTATCAACTGGAGCCATGAGTGCTGCCGCACCATGGTCACCGTGCGACGGATTGACGGAACGAGAGAGTTCGGCGAATGGTTGTCACCGGAGCCTGGTGCCGAAAGGACGTGCAGCGGCCGCAAAGTCTTTGGCAGGACAAGTTCTTCGGAGCAGCGCTAGTCCCACCAGTTCGTGGATTTGTCTATGGTACAGTGCATGAATGCTCTCCTCTTTACTTCACTGTTGAGACTGGAGTGTCTTGTCGTTAAATCCCGTTTCTGCTGAAAAGGGGATTTGTGCTGGGCTGTTTCAATGCAATTTGCTTGAGCTCAATCTTGTGCACTGAATTGACACCATGTCTAGAGAAACGTAGGCTGCATAGGCCTCCACATTGCCATACGCAAGCTGAATTACACAGTATCGGTTACAAAGTAGTCTCCGTTTCTTGAAGTGCCGATGGAACTTTCTTCTAAACAGCATGTGCCGATGGAACCGAATCTGATTCTTGACCACCTCATTCATTGTTTTGCTTGTGCTACCAATAGCTGTATATCCATGTGACCTTTTTTTCATGACCTTTCCTATGTATGATCTCCCCCATGCCTTTTAATAAAATTGCGTTCAGTAGGTAGTGTGCATACTGTGCAGCCTTTATTTTTCAAAACTTTGTCATTTTGGTTGCGACGTCAGATGATATCTGCCTTGCCTTTTTTGCATTGGTACTTACTCTTGTTCACTACAAGAACTTCTCTAGCCCATAAATCAAGTTCTGCCACACAAAAAAAGGCCTTGTTAGGAAACCAGAGAGAGTGAAGTGACCCTGTGTCAAAACTCATGAATCCAGGTTTACCTTCAACCGTACCACCTTCCGTATTGCCAGGATTAGTCCTGGCATCAGGCATTGAACATTTGCAACATCATGCCGTAAGGTGTAAATCTGAAAGTGTTGTTCGAGTAACGTAGTCAATTCAGTGTATTATTTTTCAGTCAAACATATCAGCCATACCAGTACCTCTCCTGGGCCTGAGAAGTTGATTGATGTGCTGGAAACAAGACCAGGGAGAACCATACTATGCACACGCACTCCATCTTCCCCAAGTAGTTGGCCTCTGGCCTTTTCCAAAGTACTAGTCAGTCAGTTGATTCTATGTACAGGTGAAAAATAGCTAGAAATGCACACAAAGAAAGATGCTGTCTCTGTAGCACTCTAGGAAGGTATGATTGCAAATAGCACATTATCTTTTGTCGACACTTACTGGACTACTGGAATCCATATCTTCCCTGTTGTATATCTGACCAAGATCTGATATGTTATTTGCAATCTGTATTGCATCTTGCGAAGGCAGATCCTATCAATGTCAAAATTAGTATATCAGTCTGCAGATTCCTGATATCATAGGTTGACAACAGTCATTGAGTACTGTTGATATCTTTCTTTTTCTTTCTTTTTTTTTTCACTTTTTTTGGCATTTTCATTCCTTGATTGACTCGAGATGCTGCAGGGCACATATTGTTAGCAATATGTAACAAACGGTTTAAACCTGTCATAAAAACTTCATACCGATGGGTTAGGTCTTGATTCCACAATCTCGACGTTGCTGTAGTGGAATGAGGCCTGTATAGCAGCTTGCTGAAGGAGCACGGAGCCAATTGATAATGTTGGTGCAACCAAGCAGCCCTAATCAGGAAACCACAGCATAAGTCATTAATTTGGCAAGCTTAGATGGTAATGGCGGTGTAAATTTCAGAAGTAGCGCGACGGTGACAATTTACCATGCTTGCCTTCTCGCAAAATGCTGACAGTTCAGTTACTGTATCTAACTCAATTTTTGGAACGTAGACGACGCTGCTTAAACCAAACGCCGCTGCCTGCTCATAATAAACCATTTCAAAGAGGTAAGCACTATTACTATATTTGATATTGAATTCCCAACATGAGAATAATCTGAAGCAGTCGCTGGAGAGTCTAGACATGAGTAGGTCGATTTTGTCCTGAAAAATTAGCTGATTAATTTCAGTCGTCAATGCCATTTATTCATGTTTGTCTCTGTCGTTGTCAGGATGGCTGAAATGCACTCCTGACAACGCCCTGACTTATAGTGTGCCCCTTAACTCCCCTGTGGGACTTTACGACGATGCGTGTGAAACCGAACCATATACAGTTTGAAATAGCAGTATTTATTTAGCTTTGGACTTAAGCACCTCACCATTCATTGTATGCAGCTTAAATATCCTTTTCCATGTTGTAGGTGGGCAATGGACATACCTGCTTTACATTGTCGTAAACAGCTGAAGGCTCGCTGAAATCGACAACCACGCCAGTTGCCCTCGACTGGAAAAACAGACAGCGCAGTTAGCCCCAAGATGTCCTGAAGAAGGCAGGCAGCCCGGGAATGCACAGCCCCGAAAGAACGTTTGTATTGTACCTGCGCTATGGAGCCTAGAACCATGGTGAGGTCGTTCAGCACAGGGATCTCCAACGGCTCGTCCATGCCACTTATCTGAAGCACAATGCCAGCATTTACAGATCGTATGAGATAAATATAAAAGGGGGACGCTGAACTGAATGAACGGTGAGAAGAAGAAACCTGTCCTGCGTCCTCGCCAATGCACTGAGAATCGATCGCCCCTGCAAGCTCCATCCCCCTAGCCTTGCTCACCGCAAGAACGGCCGTCCTCCCGATCTCTTTCGTGGCCCCAACGATAACAACCTGCACACCAGCAGCAGGCCCTGCCCTCAGGAGGAAGCTAGCGGTGGCAGTGAGAGAAGCCGGCTAGCTTTGACCAAGAACACAGACCATGCACAGTGATGGAGTACCTTGATCGTGCTCTGGGCCGGCGGCGGCGGCGGCGGCGTTTGCTGCACAGAGCAGAGGACCTTCGCTGCAGCATTCCTCCTCGTCGCGGTGTCCCCGCATGCTCGGATCCGAATAGGATGGCATAGCGAAACCATCTTGATCGAGCTGGTGCTAGGTCAGTCGTCACCCGTCAGTGTGTGCCTTGCCCTCCCGTTTGCGTTTTCCAGTGTCCTGGCCTTATCTTATCTTGTCTCATTGTCTGGAAGTGAGTGGCCTCAAGCCATTTGGCTTATCTGCGTAATACCAGCTTCTTGAGTTGGTCCCCGGGCTGGTGTCTGCTTTTCTAGAGTACTAACTGTAAGGTTGATCTCCACCACGGCTAATTGGGTCTTCATCCGCGTTTTGATCGGGGGCGCTCAGTCTTTTCGTTGACTGATGGTACTTATCGCTAGCCGTCAGTAATAAATAGGAGGTGAAATTTGGAGCTTGACACATGAGGTTTCAGTGGCCGCCATACCCCACCATATCTTAGCCCTAGTCCGATCTAGAAGGGCGCTACCAGTAGTTTAATGACGGAAGCGTCATTGCCTTTGTCGCCGCCACCAGACCGGGTCTACACTGCTACTATTTCGTCGCCGACGCCATGGGTGCGGTTGGAAACTCGAGATGAGGTATAACAGCAAGTCCCCTCATCAAAACTAAGTATTACCCACTAATCTACGCCTCTAGAAAACCGCTGGTTCCATCAATGGTATCGAGCGAGTTTTTCTAGTGTGTAAATCTAGATCGGGGTAGAAAAGTGAAAAGAAAGTAGGAGGGGATTCGTTTTCCGAATCGAATCGAAACCCTAACCCTAAATCACCACCGTCGGTCGTCGCCTTGACGCCGCGCGGGAAGTCACCTAGAACCGCTTCGACGGTGCGAGCGGACTCCGGTATAAGGGCACCACTGTGAGACCATTCAATGAGCGCGGATTTGACCAGACACACAAGCTTTCGGTGAAGGATCCACGACCAGCGCCACCATCTTTCGCCTCGGAAAGAAAGAAGGAGGTGATTCGATTCGATTCAAACAAACCCTAACCCTAACACAAACCCTAGAAAGTTTAACGGACGGAGAAGGGAGGACCTACCCGGTTTTTCCCGCCGCCATCACCACCATTGTGGGCGCGGAAGAAACCCGCCGTCCGACGGGCAGGGCGAAGCCGAGCCGCCGCCTTCGATGTCGGGGTTCTTTGCCAGCAGGCTGTGGCGCCGACAGGGGACCGCTCGACACAAGCATGCTCACCCACTAGGGAGCGCTTGGCCCGAGAGGGGACCCACGGCGGTGCCACACTCTTCTTCTCCGGACGTCTGTTGTACTAAGGAGAAAGGGAGGAGCTAGGGTTTAGGGAAGAGCCCCACCGCAGCGGCGTGTATGGGGAATAGGGCACCGTCGCTTGACATCGCTCGACGGCGGCACACTCAACCTAGGGCGAGCGCGCTCATCGGCGAGGGGACCTGTTGATGCAAAAGTGGATCTGCAAACACAAAGGGCTAATACCGAATCGATATCCAGAGCGTACGGTCGATTTGACTGTTAATCGACAAGGATGAAGATCTGAGCACTTTGGTCCCGACAACAATGACGATACGCCCGAAAGTCACGCCAAGGGGTACTCACGCTGAACTCGAGAATCGCCGAAGGTCGACTTGAGACAATGCAACTCATGAATCAATGAGAACTCGTAAAAAGAAAAATATGCAAATTGAATGAAGTCATGAAAAGTAAGTAGATGTAAATAGGAGTAAAACTTGGTTTTGATATTGATTCATATCTTCATTACATTGCCCCTCACTCCATATTTATACCACGATCTAAAGAGACACAACCAAACACAACTAGGACACCAAGCCCATATCTAAGGAAACACGTGACTCTTACATGAGTCATACTCTAACAAATATAGAAAAGGAAATCAACTCCTATCTATTTCCCGTCGCCTCAATTACGATGGAAATCTCACCGTCCTCCTTCCCATCGGCATACTCCCCTGTTTCATCGGTAGTAGTCTTCAAGTCTTCCTTCATCGGCATACTCCCTGTTTCATCGGCGATAGTCTTCAAGCCTCAAGCCTCCCTTTCATCGGCATCGACAATAACACCTCCAACCTCATCGGCAACGCCCGAGTCTAAATCAACCTTTCCATCGACCACACACCAGCTATCGGCAACCATCTTTACAAGTCGGCTTTCATCGGTTATCGAGTATCTGATAACTTTCCCTTGCCGATCAGTCCACTCCGATCATTTTGACACGTGCAAAAAACGGTGTCAACACATGCCCCCAATTTCGGAGTATAAAACCATTAATGCTCGAAATTTACTCCAGATAACGTTTGCCTTCACCGATTACCGTAACTCATTCTCCAAGCCAAAACTTGATCTGTTATCAAATCCAATCAAATCTAATCTCGATTCACGCACTTCAATAAATATCGCACAATCGCCAACCACTCTTGCCTTGATTATGATTAAGATATAAAACAATAACCCATCGGCAAGATCTTAACATGATAATGTCAGTTGCTTTCGTAATTAAAATATCCTGTGACCGATACTTCTTCCAAATCATGATTACTTGCCATCAACTCATCTCGTACAATCCCCGATTATCGTGTGAATAGTTACCATATCCATCCGAACCACCTCGACCTACATGCATGCGCGGTATAGAGATAAGTCCAAAATACCCCTACCCCAAGCGGCTTATAAATAGATTCCTCCGGAACACTCGCCTTCTACCCTCGGACCCCAATCTTTGACATTTTCTCTTCCCGTGGCGACTTCGATTTAACAATCGCGTGACCTCAACCAACAAGAACTCTTCTCCGGCGTTAACCTCAAGTCTCCGGCTCGTGCCCCCATCTTCCTCAAGATAATGGCAATCAACTTCAACGTCCCTGCGGTTCGCTCCACTTCCATTACCTTTTACTTTGATCCCCCTAGTTTTTGCAAATCCATACAGTTGGTGATTTTTCCTTTCTTTTGTTCTCCGGATCCTTTAAACTTAGGAACTGCGCAACAAATTAGTTATTCCAACCGATCAGCCGCATGTCCAATGCCTAGGACCAATGGGCAACCCAGATCCAACTGATCTGATTAATGCAGAGGTTAACAGAATCCCTTTTAGAGTCCAAAATTTCTCTCTGAATTTATGGAAAGACACATTCCGATCTTGGCCCAAGACCACCAAAGGGTGGAAAGATTGGTACTTGAGGGTTAATAGATCGATGCAAGTATACTGGGCAGAACGGAAGTTAGACCAATGCATTAGGCTATCTATTGCCGATATGCAAAAGAATGAATCAATGATGATTACGGTTTGCTTATACAGGGTCGACACAACAAACACTTTTATGTTTGGACATGGCCCATCTACTCCCACACTTGCCGATGTCCACATGCTCACTGGCTTGGATATTTCAACCGGATGAAGGCTCCATCTATGGTAGAAAATCTGAATATAGGGTGAATACCCGCAACATCGGCGGTTGGACGGGGTACATTCAAGAATACCGTAAGACCCAGGACACTTAACCAGAGGGAACATGCCACATTCTTGAATATGTGGTTAGAAAAATTTATTTTCTGTGGTCGATCAGTAGGACCAACCAACGCCTTCCTCCCCGCAGCTGAACTTTTGGCTAATGGTGTAAGGTTTCCTCTTGGCCGATACCTTCTGAGCTCCACTTATCATCTTCTTCATCAAGTGTCTCAGAAACTTCTGCTTGGCGAACCCATCGGCAACCTAGGAGGCCCGTGGTGGTTTATCAACATGTGGTTGAATGCACATATGCACAAACGTTTGCAATGGGACTTTTTGCCCAACAATCCCACGAGAAATTCTGTGAAGACCATGTGCTCGGGGACGATGAATCGGCAACACGCTCACCCCTCAATTTTGGTGAAGCCATAATTGTCCTTCCCGAACAGAGGCCAATGAAGACCAGATCGTGATTCTTCCAAAGCTTCTACAATGGTCTTTCTCGTGATCATAGGGGCTGGGTACCTTATATTGACGAGGAAAATAGATTCCCCTTCTTTTCAACTTTTTGATGACACCTGAATCGGGATAAGGAACTCATGATGGCCATCATTACTCCTGTGGCAATTCCAAAGAAATACATTTGGTAGCGGGAAAAACACCAACATTACGTATGAATTTTACAATCCATCGGCAAGATCCCGTCAATTGGCTTTTGGGCAATCGCCAATCAAACTTTGCTTTGCCGATGTGATCAAACCTGTGGAAACAATCACCGTGGAACAGATTGGAACAAGGTAGTACAACTCTCCCCCGGCCGATACTATAGATGTTGATATATCCACCGGACGCCAAAGATCCTTCATCACCGAAGTCATATAAGCAATGGTGGCGAGAGTGGAAGGAACAACTATTTGCAACTTCGCTCACACATATCGGCACATGATCGAATTCTGAATATGCCATCCCCGACGACGCAGATGAAGTTTCTTTTAACTCCCTTCCTTTTCCCTTCATATATCAAGAATCGACTCTCTTATGACAAAGTTAACAACCCAAAGCACCATCTGTGAGCAAAAGTGGAAACCCTTCGATCTTCATTTTGTTTCTCCGATATCATCAATCGGCTACAACGCCCCACCTTAACCGCTTTGACTCACCGTAAGATCCGTATCAAGACCATCACCTCTAAGTCCAAATTGGCTACAACTAGGGCCACTCCATTGGTCTCTTTGCTACAACCTTGGTCAAGGCATTCAAGGTAACAACCTTGTTTATTTCTACTTATGCCGATCACAAGCTGTATTAACATTAACCATCGGGGGTAAGAGTCTGTCTTTGGATCGCGTCATCGGCAATTCCTCCGATATCAAGCACCACTTCTTTTGACAAACCTTCGAGGTATCCTCTTGACTTTTCATTTTATCTGTTAAATATTATACCTTACACTTGTTTTTGTAAAGCAACAATTGGGTACATCGGCAATCGTATGCGAGATATCCAAGCTTCACAACCAACAAGTGTCGATGCCCCTGACCAATCGCTGCCGATGCCCAAGCAAAGCGCAAAGCTTTAACAGAATCTTCGAGGCACGC